GTTTCTCTTTCTCATTGCTCATATTCTTACATTTCTCTGCTTCCATGTGGGATCATTTTTCCTTTAGCCTGCATAACTCCCTTTAGCAATTCTTTGTGTGGGTTTGTTGGTGGTGATCTTCTTTCTCAATGTTTGTTTTCTAAACACATTTTTATCTTATCCTCATTTCTGAAGGATATTTTGCTAGGTATAGAATTATAATGTGGCTTTTTCTAAGATATTACTCAACTTTTTATGGCTTTCCTCATTTCTGTTAAAAATTCAGGTTTCAATGGGGGGCCTGGGTGCCTCAGTTGGTTAAGTGACTGCCTTCAGCTCAGGTCATGATCTTGGGGTACTGGAATCAAGCCCAGCATCGGGCTCATGGCTCAGCGGAGAGTCTTCTCCCTCTTTCTCCCCCACTCTGCCCATTCTCCCACTCATGCTTTCTCTCTCTCTCAAATAAATAAAATCTTAAAAAGAGCCAGGTTCAGGTCTTACTATTCTCTGTAGAAGGTAATAACGTCTTTATAACCCATATTTTTTGTAGATGTTCTCTTTTTCATTCTTCCTTGAGGGTGTTAAAGGAGGAATGCTGCATGTGCAGCTTCCCAAGGTGAGCTCATATCAGACTTCAAGATGTGAAGTCTTTCTCTTCCTCCCACATATAAAAGCCATCGCAGCTTTTCAGCAAAAGTACTGACATGGACTGCCCCTCCCCGCTTTAGGAGCAAGTTCTTTTGCTACCCACTGCATGTGCAAGTGGGAGTAAGGTGGAGAGGCTGTCTCTTCCTAGAACGGTTCCTTAATCAATAACTCACACATTGTCCAAGGGCCCTACTGATGCCAATAGTTGTTGTTGTTGTTGTTGTTTTCTGTGTACCTAGAATATCCCCAAGAACCACCTTGCATTTCTGCAGTAAGCCTCTGTTATGCAACTTTTGTTTGTCTCCCTTCAATCCAATCCCACCTGCTTCCTATTTTTCAAGGATTCTCATAAAGACTGGTCCATTGAGAGCACCCCTTCATGTCTTTCAGTATTAAGGTATGCACGTGAGTTTGTGTACCCATGTAAGGTTTTTGTAGTTTTTAGATTTGGGAAAGAGAGAAGCAGTTGGGAGAGGCTAGAGGCTAGAACTCGCTCTCAGTTGGCCATCCTGATTCAATCTCAGTTGATCTCTAAGTACATACTGAATTCTTTAATACCAAACACAGCTACTAGTATCATATGATCTAATTTAGAAATATCTGCTTCTGAAATGATGTCTTATTAAGCTATTTCAATTTAAGACTTGGTTTCCATGTTAAAACTAGTATTTGCAGGACATGTGTGAATAAATTCCATTCTCCCTCAACAAAATTATCTTTTAGATTTTAATATTAGATCCCAAGATAATTGAGAGTTCTGTATCACAGATTCCTACAAACATACAACAGCAACAACAGAAAGAGTATTTTTGCTCAACTATAACAAAAATGAGGGGGCAAGTAACTATTTTAAAAAATTTGTTAAGTGCTAAGTTCTTTATAGATTTTGCACTTAACGAATTTTTAAGAACAGTTACTTTTCCCCTCATTTTTGTTATAGTTGAGCAAAAATACTCTTTCTGTTGTTGCTGTTGTATGTTTGTAGGAATAATCCATCAAGAAATGGGCAGAAGACATGAACAGATATTTCTGCAAAGAAGACATCCAGATGGCCAACAGACACATGAAAAAGTGCTCAACATCACTCAGCATCAAGGAAATACAAATCAAAACCACAATGAGATAACACCTCACACCAGTCAGAATGGCTAAAATTAACAAGTCAGGAAATGACAGATGCTGGCGAGGATGCAGAGAAAGGGGAACCCTCCTACACTGTTGGTGGGGATGCAAACTGGTGCAGCAACTGAAAAACAGCATGGAGGTTCCTCAAAAAGTTGAAAATAGAGCTACCCTACAACCCAGCAATCGCACTACTGGGCATTTACCCTGAAGATACAAATGTAGTGATCTGAAGGGGCACGTGTGCCTGAATGTTTATAGCAGCAATGTCCACAATAGCCAAACTATGGAAAGAACCTAGATGTCCATCAACAGATGAATGGATAAAGATATGGTATATATATATACCACATCTTTATTGTACACACACACACACACACACACACACACAATGGAATACTATGCAGCCATCAAAGAAATGAAATCTTTTTTTTTATAATTTTATTTTTTATAAACATATATATATATATATATATATATATTTTTTTTCCCCCTCCAGGGGTACAGGTCTGTGAATCTCCACGTTTACAAACTTCACAGCACTCACCATAGCACATACCCTACCCAATGTCCATAACCCCCCCCAACCCCCCTCTGCCCAACAACCCTCAGTTTGTTTTGTGAGATTAAGAGTCACTTATGGTTTGTCTCCCTCCCAATCCCAACTTGTTTCATTTACAAAGAAATGAAATCTTGCCATCTCCAACACGATCAGTGGAACTAGAGGGTATTATGCTGAGCGAAATAAGTCAATCAGAGAAAGACAATCATGATCTCCCTGATCTGAGGAATTTGAGAGGCAGAGTAGGGAGTTTAGGGGGTAGGAAGGAAAGAATGAAACAAGATGGGATAGGGAGGGAGACAAACCACAATCTCACAAGACAGAGGGTTGCTGCGGGGAGGGGAGGGTGGAGAGGGTGGTTGGGTTATGGACATTGGGAAGGGTATGTGATACAGTGAGTGCTGTGAAGTGTGTAAACCTGACGATTCACAGACCTGTACCCCTGGGGCAAATAATACATTTTATGTTAATAAAAATTATTAAGTGCTAAAATTAAAAATAAGGAAAAGCAATTCAGAAAGATCCTGAGATGGAAAAAAAATATCTTGAGATGTTATTTCCCTTTATTCAACCCTAAAATTACTTCAAGCAACAGATTCTTTTGCCAATACTAATAAATTCAGGAATAATATATCCTTGATTTACCTTGATTGTTACAGTGTAAATTCCAAATTTTTAAATCTAAAATAATCTCCAGGTGGTTGTACAATAGAAATTTAATGCAAATAAATGGAATCCTGAAATAATACAAACTCTAAATATTCTTGTGTTAAACCCAAAGAGTTCAACAAAACAATCTTTTGAAAAAATATTTAAAGCACATCTAACATGTCCTAGGTATTGTTGTAGGCATGGGACATATCAGTGAACAAAACAGACAAAATCCCCTGGTTTGTGGAGTTTATATTCTAGAAAATATAGATATTTAGATATAGATACAGAGTTTATAAATATAATATAAATAATAAATAAAAAATAAATAAAATATAGATATAGAGTTTATATTCTATAAAATATAGATATTTACTTAAATAATTCGAATTTGGTCCTTTCCGACAGAAATTACTAGTAAGGTATGTAAAAGCTTTATGTCCAAACACAAATATACATATCTCTTATAGCCATCCATCATACAATCATATGGAAATCTGTTTGACTTACAGCATTAAAATAAAGTCACAGAGATGAAAAGTATAGCATAGGGAATATAGTCAATAATATCGTAATAATGTTTCTGGGTGACAGATGGTGGTTACACTTACCATGGTGAGCATGGAGTAATACATAGAATTGTTGAATCAATATGTTGTATACCGGTAACATTTATGTTAATCATGCTTCAATAAAAATTAAATAAGTAAATAAATAAAAATATATTTAAGAACATTTATAACACAGAGATACATTTAGCTACTGACTTCAAAACGTTAGAAGTCAATACCTTGTCAGAGAACGTGAGAAAGGTCAGGGGTCCTAAAATTTATCTGCCAAAGTGATTCATTGGAAAAGGAGGTATTGGCTAGGTTTTAGGTAAGTATACCAGATTTTAGACAACTCTTAACAGATCTCAATTTATATCTGTGAACAAGCAACTGAAATAATCCAGATGTCAGACCTGTGCAGACTGAGGAAAACACGGGGTCTAGCGGGAGCAAAATTTTGATCATCCAGAGTTGTAGTACCCCATATGGTAGCTTGTAGTCACATGTAGTTATTTAACTTGGAATCAACTAAAAATTTTAAATTCAGCTCCTTAGTCACATGAGCCACATTTCCAGGGCGCGAATAGCCCCCTATAGCCATGGCAGCCAAACTGAAAAGGGAAGGAGAACATTTCCAACACTGCAGAAGTTCTATTGGACAGTAGTGCTTTAGAGAATCAGAAGAAAACGCCGCCACTCCTGGGAAAGACCAAAACTTCCCGAGAATGGTTACAGCAAGTGGCAATTTTAATCGCAAAAATATAAGTTGTCTTCTCTATCCCTTGACTATTTCCATTCCCGCGTCTTATTTTCCCTTCAGCTCCTACAAAACCTCTCCTTTCCTTACTCTTTCTGTTCGTAGCTTCTCACATTTTCCCCCACTCCATTTCTCACCCCCTTCTCTATTTTCTCTAATAACAACTATGAAGTCTACAGTAAAGACTGCAGCATTTATTGAGGTTTACATTTTTTTTTATATTTCTCATCGTTAAAATTTAAGAAGCCTAATCTTTGTTTCCAAAAAACACAATATTTAGAGGGAACTTTTTTTTTATGTGTATATGAACTTTTGTGTATTTTCCACTCGGAGATCATTATCCTTCCTTAGAATTTCTCATCTTTAGAATCCGTGGTGGGAAAGATACGCAATTCGGGTTCCAGCCTCTGGCGTTTCCCTCTGTGGATGAAGAGCTCGGTCCTGAGGGCCGGGACGCCGGCATTGCACCCCGCCGGACCTGTCATTCCGCTGACCTTCTACTGTCACCTAGCGGAGAGAAGAGGCAAGGGCTCCTCCGCGAGTTTGGCCGTTACCAAGCGACGGAGGCGGTGCGAGGCCTGGCCTAAGGAGGAGGGCGCGCACTAAAAGCCGCTGGAAAGAACTGTAACAACGACGATTTCTATTGGCTGAGGAGCTCTCGTCCATAGCCTTGAGCCAATAAGCAGATGCATGCGGATGACGTCAGACGAGATGCGACTCCTGCCTCCCACTCTCTAGCGACGCGCCTGGCGACCGCTGAAGCCCACTTTGAACTCTTGGGGAGCGGGAGGGGTCTTGACTTCCCCGTGTGCGTCTCGCCCCATGTGCCCGTCGCAGCTCGCACTACTGCAGGTGTTGTTCCTGCTGGTCCCCGAGGGCGTCTGGTCTCAGCCCTCATCCTCCCCGTCTGGGGCTGTGCCCACCCCATCGGACGTGGGGCCGGGGTCGCCGGGCGGGACCCTTCAGTCCTCCTCGGAGGGCTCTGAAACTCCCTGGCCAGTGCCTGGGATCTCTACGGTGGGCCCTACGGTAGTGACCCCCTCTGCACCTGGGAATGGGACCGTAGACCTCTTCCCAGGTGAGAGGAGGAGATGTGAGAATGGAAACCAATGACTTCGATCTGAAATTCTGGGAACAAAGTGAAATGCCGCAAAGTGGGGAGTGGGGCTATTGGAAGAGGGGAATTCGCGCTTGGATGTTTGGGAATCCTCATCCCGTTCGCTCTGCTTTATTTTCATAGTCTTACCGATCTGTGTCTGTGACCTGACTCCTGGTACCTGCGACATAAATTGCTGCTGCGACAAGGACTGCTATCTACTCCATCCGAGGACAGTTTTCTCCTTCTGCCTTCCAGGCAGCGTGAGGTGAGCTGCCGTGTGCCGGGTGAATCCTAGAAAAACTGGGACCCTAGTATAGGTCATATTTGGAAGTAGGAAGAGTTATCTTTCCTGCCTTCAGCCCCCACTTGCATTTCTTTTCTTTTTTTAATTTTTAATTTATTTTTAATCCCACCTGCATTTCTATAAGTGGGATCATGTTGGTTTTTTCCCCAGGAGTGAAGTTCCTCTTCGAATTCTCCAGCGTAGGGCAGTCCAATAGAATAGGACCTTTGTGTTGTCCTGTGGTTGCCCAAGGAGGCCTCTCTTGGGCATTGGCTGGCATCCATGCAGCACCTTTTTGGACCTAACCCTCTGCTTCTTCTTCTTTTTTTTTTTTTTTTTTAAGATTTTATTTATTTATTTGAGAGAGAGACAGTGAGAGAGAGCATGAGCGAGGAGGAGGTCAGAGAGAGAAGCAGACTCCCCGTGGAGCTGGGAGCCCAATGCGGGACTCGATCCCGGGACTCCAAGATCATGACCTGAGCTGAAGGCAGTCGTCCAACCAACTGAGCCACCCAGGCGTCCCTAATCCTCTGCTTCTAAATGTATCTGTTCTTCATCCTGTTTCCTCTCAGGTCTTCAAGTTGGGTGTGTGTGGACAACTCTCTAATCTTCAGGAGTAATTCCCCATTTCCTTCGAGAGTTTTCATGGATTCAAGTGGAATTAGGCAGTTTTGTGTCCATGTGAATGATTGTGAGTAGTTGATTATGCTTGTTACCTAGCATTTATTGAAAATTGGCTTTGTGTCTGGACCTTTGTTTTTAAACTTTTCTTTTGTCTTTTGAATTTCTATCATCTGCCCTCTTCCACCTCTCCACCTTCCCCTTCTCTTATTAGTGAATATTTGCAATTTCTTATGCCCTCTTGGCTGTGGATCAGAAAACCCATATAGAACTTTTTTTTTTTTTTTTTAAGATTTATTTATTTATTTGACAGAGAGAGATCACAACTAGACAGAGAGGCAGGCAGAGAGAGAGAGAGAGGGAAGCAGGCTCCCTGCCGAGCAGAGAGCCCGATGCGGGACTCGATCCCAGGAACCTGAGATCATGACCTGAGCTGAAGGCAGCGGCTTAACCCACTGAGCCACCCAGGCGCCCCACCCATATAGAACTTTAATTCCAGTCATCCCCGTTAGCCATAAGGAGATGGCTGCAGGAACTTGAATAGATTTCTGTATTGTTATATAGACTTATTACAGAATATACCTCTTTGGAGTGTCTGAAATCCTAAATGTAGAAATTATGAAGTGAAAGGGGAGAAACAACAAATTCGTATACTTGAGAGATGGAAACATTATTGAGACTGGTCAGTTGAAGTTTAGAAGAAACAGGAGAGGACAAACTGAGTGTTATTTTCAACTTTGCCATGTTCTGACAGAAATAATACTATTTTGTACTAGAGACTTATCTGGTATCGGGCAAATGTGAGCATTATTGAACCTCCTGTTTTCATCACAAATTGCTAATAACATTCCTGGTATCAGGGACTTGGAACTGCCTGGCATTTGTCGACCATATTCTTACCTTAGATCTTAATAATAAAGCAGTAGTTCTTTTAACAGAATATACATGCAGTAGAATTTGATAAAAATCAGAACTGTTATCTTTGAAAGTGGAATATTATTGATTGTGAGTCTTCTGGGGAAATTTCTATAACTGAATCTGGGTAGTAGAAATAGGAGTGTAGCAATTTGTAGAAATTCTTTTTTTTTTTTTAAGATTTTGTTTATTTATTTATTTGACAGAGATCACAAGTAGGCAGAGAGGCAGGCAGAGAGAGAGAGGAGGAAGCAGGCTCCCTGCCGAGCAGAGAGCCCGATATGGGGCTCGATCCCAGGACCCTGGGATCATGACCTGAGCCGAAGGCAGAGGC